CATTTTAGACCGTGAGAACTCCTTAAATCTCACATAAAGGACAACAGTAGAATGTCCATTTTACATGTACTGTGATACAGTGTAAGGAATTTCCTTGTTTTGGGAATTTGGAAGCATGTGAGCTCCAGCACTGAAGAGGCAAAATGACCAAAGAATAATACTGGGGGGAAAACCCACAAAATTCAACAAAATAGTGGGGCATTCCTAAGGCAGGGACTAGCTTGGGTCTCTCACCGCATTCTCCACTGAAGGTGAGACATGAACAGCAGGGGAGAGCTCTAAGTAGTAAATGAAATAGAGTTTGAAAAAAAATCACAACATGGCATGTGTTTGGGGGACCATGGGTTTTATTGTGGATTACAAGTCATGTGATAAGCACTATCCAAGGGGCCCCAGGGCACTTGCACAGAGCACTTATAATGGCAATATAAGGGAACAATAGCCTATTTCTAGCATAAAATATTGTGATTTGGGTGTCAGGAAAATGAAATATCCTTACACAATATCTTGAAAGGAGATTTTTGGTCCCACAAAACAAATAAGCAAGAACATACTGCACAAAAATGAATATGTAGTAAAATATTCCAGGGAACCAGGTGTGTACAATTTCATTCAACATGCAGAACCACAGTTGATATTTTTTCCATCTCGTGTTCAAACATATCAGTGCAATGGATACACATTTTGCTTTGCTGTTGGACACAAATACTGGGACTTATTGGTTCAAATGGCTCCTTGCATAGTGCTCGTAGCACTGCATTTAAATTCCATGTGGAGAACCTTTGTACCTGTGGTGGATTGAGGAGGGAGGCCTCCCTCAAAAACTGCCATATGTGTGGGTGATGGGGAAAAACCTACCTTTCCTAGCCCCTCCAACCGTGGAAATGGCCATTACCTGTCGCCTTAGAGAACTAGTACTCACTGAAAGTGAAAGTAGCCACCATCACTCCTAACAGAGCCCCAAAATGGAGCCCTACCCCACCCACATCAGCTGAATCCGGTGGGGAAGAAGTAGGCTGTCTATTGTTGCTCCCTTTCCCAAAGGCCAGCAATAAGGACTGTAAAATGTCCCTGCTAGAGACCTGACCCATGGACCAGAAGCAATTTGTCCTTTTAAAGAACCTCCCATCCAGATCCAGAGGAAAGGAGTAAAGGGCGGGGAAAAGAAAACTGGAGGAGGGGGGGTAATCTTCTTTCTCTCTCCCCCTCCACACCTTGCCAGTTCTCAATGGATACAGTCCTACCATGTTTCAGCCGACAGGGTAGACTGCGCAGGAGACACGTCCCTCCTCGCCACAATCTGGAACAAGGAGGGGGCTCCATTCCAATGCCGAAAGGGACAGCGACAGAGATTCTGCACCACCCTCGGCCGCCTCTCTTGCCTCTGCTCTCCCCAGGCTCTTCACTGAGTGTCTGTCCCCAAAACCGTTGCACACTGCCGCGGCTGGATGGAGGGGGGAGAGCAGTTTACTGCCGCCTTCCCAGTAGGGTCCGAGGAGTTCCTCTCGGCACTGCGACCGCCTGGGGGCCTCCCAGGACTGCCGGCGCCGGATCCATTGTAATTCGAGGCCTGCAGCTCTCAAATATGTTTTAGGGCTGGAAGGTAAGTACCTTCTCCCATTGCCCTTTAGGTCTCCGCTTCTTCTTCTGACCTTCCGGTGTCTTCTGGGATCTTCGTGCTCTTCAGAGCTCAGCCAGCACGTCCTGCTCAGAAGGCAGGGCCGGTAAGACTGGGGATCAGAGGATAAGCCCCTCCCCTCTGGGATCAAAGTTTGCCGGCCCTGGCTACGGAAGGGGGAGGTGCTTTCCAGTTGTAAGGAGTCAAGGACTCCTGGACCACCAGAGAAAGATGCTGTTGTTAAAAAGAACCACAGACATCCAAATTTGCTAATCTCTGAAGCAAGTTATTAGCAAATCATTCCTTTATAATTGGAGACTTCTTCTCAGGCATAGCAGTACTCCTGCTAATTATATATGGTTCCCAGTATTAAAGAGGATAAAATGTAGTTAGAACAATAAAAAGGGTGTAATATTCATTATCAACACACAACTTTTCTTGAAAATCTGAACACAAATCTGTATAACAATTTGTTATTATCTAGATAATTTAAGAAACTGCCTACAAAACTGAAATACAAGTAAAGAAATTCCTAAAAAATTAGAATACTGAAAGTCTGTTTTTAATTTGCATGTTTTCCCTCAATAATGCTTAACTGAGATATCAGTTCGACAAAACAAAGCTAAACAAAAGAACCCTTAGATTTTTCACACTGAATTAACACTAAGGACCTCTAATGGATATCCTAATTGGACTTTATTATTCATGGAAATTTTACACAAATCAAAACCAGCTCTTGCATGCCCTCTTCTCATCGGAGTCTCAGCAAAAATACTTCATGAGTTAGACATTTTTAAAAATCCAGCCACTAACAGCAATCTATAGCCTAGATCTACTCAGCAATAATAATTAGGATTAATATTCTAAGCAAAAAAATCTATGTTATTTAGACTTTTCATTTAATGATAATAAGCAATACCACACTCTCTGTAACATAATGGCGTACAGGCTTACAGGTGGATTAAAATGTTCATCCTGGAACAGTCCAGAAGAACCATGCCTGTCATTAATTTTTGTGTTCTACTGAAACACCGTACAAAATAAGTGATAAGGATATTTACTACAAGAACAGTGAAAAAAAAAAGAGGTACTGTTTCTATATCAAAAGTCGATTCCAGTAGATGGAGCTGGGAGATCACCTTTCAACATGAAGGCAGTTATGCTACGGTGCGCCATCTTAATTCCCATGATACTTTACATTAAACTACTACACTAAACCTGTTCCTCAGGAGTCCAGAAAGGAGTGTATGTACCATCACTGGATAATGCTCATAGCTTGGGTCCACCTTGCTCCTGGATCCTAGGGAAGTGGCCATGGCCAAGAGCCTGTTTTACCAGATTCAGCTATTGTGCAAGCTCTGAACTCTTAAATAAGCACCACAGTACCGTATGCCCTGGTAACTTCTCAATGTGACCATTATACAGTGTTCCATGTTCAACAATCCTTTAATGTGTCTTGGAAACTGGACTAAAATGTGACAAACCCATTGTTACCTGGGAAAACAGGCAGCAAGAATATGACCCTAACAGGTTAACTGTAAGCGGAGACACACCCGTCTAAATCCACTGAAGTCAAAGGGCTTAGAGAGGTGTAATTCTACTCAGAACTGCTCTGAATTTGTCAAAATCCTACTGGCTTCCTTTTTTTATGGAACAAATTCAAGGTGCTAGTTTTAACCAGAACTAACAAACTGGATTTAAGATATTTGAAAATACTTGCTCTTCTATGCATCTGTTGAGAATTAACTACTGGTGATGAGGTTCTGTTAGGATTTCTACCAGCAAGGTCTGCAAGACTATCATCCACTAGGAACAAAACATCCTTGATGGTAGCTCCTGCTTTGCGAAATTCTCTCCTGTGGGAGACCCACCAGAACCATACTGTTGGTTACTTTAAAACAACAGAATAATATTTTTATTCTTTAAGGACTTTTAAGGTTTTGTACTCTTGACTTTTTTTTTACTGTCCCTATTTTCATTATAGCTACTGAAATGGTATTACTTTACTGGTGCTTTTATTGTTTTAGTTTTTGTTGTACACTGCTCTGATAACTGCCAAGATGAAAAGAGGTGTGTAAACTGAAGTAATAAAAGCAGAATGAAAAGAATAATCTATAAAGGAAAATGAAATTAAATACAATTCATTGTGCTTTACATTTAGTCTCAAGATAATTTATAAATTACAATCTGTTTAGAGTTCTTTTAAAATACTACAGATGTGAATTATGGATCATAAGAGTGCTAAAAAGAATACGAGGCTTCATTATCAAGTTTAAGATTGCTTTAGACATACCTTGGCTAGATCACTTATGGGACAAATTATATGCTGCCATTAAAAAAAATTGCACACAAGACTTTCACAAGTCACTTCTCTGTTAAAAGTTGTATTAATGACAACTTTGGGAACACATTTGAACCGCCAACAAACTGTGTGAAACTGTTGGTGACAAAATCCAAGAACCACTCTTCCATACCTGCAACATTCATTGACGTTACATAAAGATTTACCAAATATATGCAAAATATGCAGTTCAAGAGAACTGTATTTAAGTAGCTTGCCTATTAATAGGTTTGTATGTTCTTTTGGTGTAGTGGTTTGGTGTAGTGGTTAAGTGCGCGGACTCTAATCTGGGAGAACCGGGTTTGATTTCCCACTCCTCCACTTGCACCTGGCTGGATGACCTTGGGCAAGCCGTAGTTCTGATAAGAGCTGCTCTTGAAAAAGAGCAGCTTCTGTCAGCCCCACCCACCTCACAGGGTGTCTGTTGTGGGGAGGGGAAGGGAAAGGAGTTTGTAAGCCACTCTGAGACACCTTTGGGTAGTGAAGGGTGGGGTATAAATCCAATCTCTTCTTCTTCTTTTGTGTCTATGCATTAACACATTTCTTGCTTCTCCTTCATCCCTGCTTATCATCACTACAGAAGCTGTGTTTAATGGCTATGACTTAACTATAAAATACATTTAATCAGAAAGATGTGGCTACAGTCCAGAAAATGTGTCATCAGTTGCCATTATCAGCTACAGAAGGCAGAGATACCTGTCATTCCCCAGATGACAGTAAGAAAATCCTGGTTGTGCTCATAAGTATGAATTTCTCTGGGCACGAGAAACCATCTTATCTTTTCTCAGAGCTTTGTTTGTGCAAAAGTCCACAGGATCATGCTCCCATCTCTCTGCCACTCCAATCATTTTATAATCCACAACAGTTAGATTATGAGTGCTGGTGAGCAACCCTGTTTTATTTGGCCATACGTAACTGGAAAAGACACTGCGTTTTTTAAAATTAGAAGACCTAGATTAAACAAATTAAACAGCTCCAAACATTTTTCAAGAGACACGTTCCTCCTAGGATTACTCACGGATTTTTTGAGTGTTACAGTACCTGGCTGGTTTGTGGACTGGACGGGTCGTAAGAATAATTCTTCAGAGTATCCTGAGGATTCAGGTGAGGAGGATATCTGATTGTTGGATGAGAGAAATAGCTAGATGGGGCAGGAGGGAGAATAGCTTGTGGTGGAAATGGCAATGGTGAGGGTGAAGGTGGAGGTCTAGTTGAGATGACTAGGAGAGACAAGATAAAGTGGAAGTTATTTAGGATCTTTCATCACAGCAAAGCTCTTCAGACACAACAAGAAAAACCAAATGAGCTATGAACTGGAATGGATGGATTTCCTTGCCTTGTACCCAGGTATAACCCACAACTTTGTTATCCACCAGACTTGCATTACAAGTGAAAGAACATTATTATTCTCCAAGTAACATAAATAGGCATTTCATTTTACACATTACTTGATTTAAACATTTCTTTAAATACAGAAATCTTCACCCAAGGGAGACATATTCTTTTATCAAGCCTGACACAAAATCCAGGCAAAGCAAACAAGCTGATAAATTGTTTAGAAACTTAGAGCAGTCTTTTAAAAGGGATAACAAAGTCAGAGTCCTATAAGACTAAGCAAATGATTCCACAACGCATTGTGCTATACCCTGGGTAACTGGCTGAGAAGGGTAGGGAATAATTACTAAGTAATAACACAATGAATAATTAGCTGTCTATTGTAAAAATACTAATGAACATTCAACTCCAGGGCCTGGGAAAATATCTCACCCAATGACAATATCTCTAGTGAACAAAAAGGGTATCATATTCTATACATATTTTTCTTTGCATTCTGTTTCTTCTTCACACACTTCTCTATGAAGAGATTGTACGTAATTTCAACACAGTAACGTCTATATAGTAATGAAAGGAATGTAAAGAATGTCCTGTTTCAGCAAAGCTGTTACACCAGGTGTGGAAATTATATTATCACAGTGCATAATAATCACATTCCATTTATATGGGGCAACTTTTTTGTTTTATTAAAATGAAAAGACTGAATAATCAGGAAGTGAGGGGGGAAGGACCGTGCTTTCTACAGAAGAAAGTAACAAGCTGTGTGGCTATCAACTCTTAACAATTTAAAATGAGTTCAAAATAAAGGCTGAAATCCAGAACAACTGCATGTATGCAGCAGGATACTGTTCTTTTTTCCTCTTTCTCTCTGACACATACACCATTTAAACCTGATGGAATTTAAAAAGCAGAGGAGAGGGTAAAGGCCTGTATTGTAGCCACTTGAGGGCTTCAGCTCTGAAAGAGGGGGAAATGGGGCCTGAGCCAGGCTTTGGTCGGCCTTGCCTAACATCCTCACTTGTAGTTGTAGCAGTGTTCTCCAAGACAAAGCTAATACTGCCACTTGCAAGACGAAGGTGAAACAAAGCTTGTTATCACTACTACTACCCACCATTTCAACCTCTTATATTCCAGTGAGGAATGTGTGACCCAACCCACTGGTTGAAAGTTTACTTCAAAGTGGCTGGTTAGTGTAGTTGAAAACAAAACCCATTTGCAAAAATAAACATCCCTCCCTTACTCCTTGACTTTCAGGAATTATTATTACCTTAGATGTTTGAATTTCAGATCTTGAAATAGAACAAAGTTATAGTCCAGTGGCATCTTTGAGACCAACAAAGTTTTATCCAAGGTATGAGCTTTTTTGTGCACGCACACTTCCTCAGATGCGTTGAAATGGAAGTTACCAGTTCATATATAGAGACAGATGCTTCTACATAGGTGACAAGCAAATTAGCATACAACTTAATGAAGATGTTTTGACATATGCAAAGGTCAAAACTTTGTTGGTCTTAAAGGTGCCACTGGACTCTAACTTTGTTCTGTTGCTTCAGACCAGCATGGCTGCCCACCTGGATAGATCTTGAAACAGACTTCTTGAATCTCTAATTATGGCTTTCTCTCTTCATAGAGATATCACAGAAGAACAACCAAACCTGGATTTTTTCCCTCTTGTATGCAGTCCTTAAAGATACTGAAACTTGTCATAACATCAACATGGCAAGTTCCCCTTTCCCGCTAGTTTCTTGTCTCCCACTATTCCCATTTCCCTGGCCCCTTCTACTGCTTTGGTAGCATCAGCTCACAGTCTCCAAGGGTTTCTGCCAACTTCATTTTCCCCTTGGCTATCTTTCTGTCCTTGACCCTTTGCCACGTATTCAGCATTTATAAATTTACTTTTTGTGTACTTCACAAAAGCATTTCACATATATCATCTTCTTGTACTCCTGTAAGGAGGGCAGTAGTATTATCACCAGTAACTCAGCTTAGAGGGAACACTGCCCCAACACAACTTGTGTTTAATGTATTGTCTAATCAGACCCTCAGACAGATGATATGAGTCTTTCCATCTAGTAATTCATGGCAGAGGCAAGGTTTTCTTTCTCCCTTGGCAGCTGCTTTTGTCCCTGGATTATAAAGATGATTGCTCCGCTCTTATCTCTAAGATCTACAAACATGCATATCCTTTTCAAATATTCTTTTCTCCTAATGTTATGCTAATTGCTCCAATTTCTTTGCTACAGTTCTCCTTTACTCTTTTTGTAGTACAGACATTCAGGTTAGGATAGGGCAAAAAAAGTTAACGGTGTCTTTCCAGGATTTCAGAGGGGAAAGAAGAGAAAATTGAAAAACAAGAGACTAGTATGTTTAACTAATTTTGGTTTTTGACAAGGAAAAGACTGAGGAAGCCTATTCTAGATAATAATTGGGGGGAGGGGAATCCAAATAAGTACTGCACTTAAATAAATTCCATCAGTTAATAAAGGCAAATTGCATTTAACATTTTAATTTACGATACTGTACTTATCGAATGTAGTCTATAGCCCACAAATGGAAGAATCCTTACAGAGACAAGTTTAAATTCAAGAATTATGAATTCATAATCCAAAGGTTCCCTTATTATAACTTTTACACTGACAACTCAATACATTTTATGACTCAGAATTTTTGTCAAGTAATTCATGGGAACATTTGTGGATACCACACAAAGGGTGGGCCCCTTTGCAAATCCATGCCAATATGGAGTTAACGTATTGCAGAATAGATAACATTTTAAAGAGCGTCTGTTTCAGGATTTCATTATTTGTAATCCAAGGGGACTGAATTAGACATGGAAGTGGATATGCCTCTGAGGCTTCAATTGTATAAACTGCTAGAAATTGATTTACTCTACTCAAAGCAGACAGAAGTTGTCACTTTGTTCATAAGTCATAAATGTTTTCAACCCCTTTCCACCAAATATTAAAATTTGGCATTGTCAATAAATAGCATCTTAGATCCCACCTAAAATTTCCACGGTAAAAAGGAGTAGGGGAAGTTTTCACCAATTCCCCCCTCCCACTGTAGACCTCTGACTCCTCACCAAATTATTCTTGGGGGGATCCCCCCATCTCCCAAGAGCAGCATTGCCAGGGGTATTTTGGGCTGCTGCAGATGGGTAGAGATAGGGAAATCGAATTCCACAGATGGCAATCCTTCTGCCCACAAAAATTTTAAGTAGGACTCAAGCTAATGGCTTAAACTAATGTTTCCACACTGTTGCAGTGGGAAAAGACTAGCTAGTTCTTCTTGCATCCTTACCACTGTGTGCAACTCCCGGGATTCCTGGATGGTGATGCTGGAAAGTGGTCAATCTTGGTGAAGAATCCTGGGGAGATGTAGTGCTAAACAAAGGCTTTTCAGGCTTCTTCATTGTAGGAGAAGACATATCTGGAATGGCAATACAACACAATAGCTTTATTAGCCCACACTATATGCATCACAGTACTAAAGTACTGCTGACACACCATTAGTAGCCCCTAGTTATATTACAAGGTAACACTGATTGTTTCCAAAATAGGCACGCATTTCATTTACATGGACAGAAAGAGTAGTCACTAGTCTTTCCATATTTCGACATTGCCTATGACAGATATTACCCCACTTTCCTATGAACTGGAAAAGGGGAGCGGAAGCATACTAGGAAGCAATATTAACAGGGTTATGCTACAGCTGCATTGTGATTCTTGCAACATGCAAAGGATATCACCATCCCTGAAATCACTTCCAAGAAAGTTCAGTCCCCACACGAGATTGTCCTGGGCTTGATCTGATGCCAGAATCCGATTTCACACACTTGTAATGGGATGATACCGGGAAGCCTTCACAGCAGCTGAAGCCTCACTCTTAAGGCATACATTGCTGCTGGAAAATACAGCTTTCAATTTTACTGGTTTGGTGGACTGAGGAAGAACTGAGAGTGCCTTCGGAAGCAGATGAAAAAAACCGAATGTTCTTGACAGTAGAGAAAGAGATGTGCATCCAATTTTATATTGGGGGGGGGGGAGAATACTGTGCTCCAAGTATCAAAAGCTTGAGAAAAACTCTTAAAAGCCCTTTGACAAAAGTATTTGCTTTTTTTGTACTCTGACTCCTACGTAACAGTACATTTAAAATGTCAGTGGTTAGCGTGGTTGCTTGCACAGTAGGACAATGAGTGGAGGGAGATGTGTGGATGCTCCAAAAAACTCATCTCTAGTTTGACAGCATGGGTGGAGCAAAGTGTCCATGTGGAAACAGCTGTTATTGGGTTTGGCACTGACTACTTCGCTGTTGCAATCCTTTGATAATTCACTGTCTCTCAGCCTAACTTACCTCTTATGGTTGTTGTGAGAACATAATTGAGATTATTCAAACATAGTATATCATACACACACATTCACATACATATAATGTATGCTACACTGAAGAAGGAAGAATAGAATCAAAATGTGACAAAACATAATTCTCTAAACTATATCACTGAAGTCTTTATTCAAATAGCTAAACTTACTTCTGCAGCAGTGGCAAATGCAGTAGCTTCTTTATTATGACCTTTTGATTTATTAGACCAAATCACCCTTTTCATTCAAGCACAAGAGAGGTAAGCCATTATAAAAAGCCACTTAGCACAACTGAACAAATATTTGCTTTTGGCATTGTAGCTCTTCCCCAATTACATTATGGTTTTTGGGGTTTTTTGGGGTTTTTTGTCATTGTAAAAGCATTCTTACAATATTGTCTGGAGAAAAAAACCCCAACAAGTACTAAAAGCAGTTATGGCTCATTTAACAAGGCACAAAGCTCATCAGACTGCCATCCTCCGGGGCTGAAAGACTGTAACAATCAAGGTAGGCTGATTCAAACCGTACTTCCCCCCCACCTCAAAATGCTTAAGAGGGTTTGCCCCTTACATCCTCAACAGAAACGCACAGAGTGCTCTGTGGACATGTGTTGCTGATCAGATGGAAGCAATGTTATGTGCCTCTGTATTCAGTCCTTCTTTTTTATTATGAAGGGAGACAGTATTGGTGTGCAGTGCAGGAAAGTTGTTCAAGCGGGTATGCAAAACAATGGAAATTTTCCTTTTAGGCAGATATAGTGGGGAAATGACAGTTTCAAGGATTAATTCATTCAAGTTACATTGATTTGGAAGATCTGGGAGTGGCTTTAATGTCTTAAAGTAAATTAGTTGATGTGAAGGATCTGATGCTTGGAGTTCAGCCTAGACACGTACTTAGTTTGTGACCTCAGGGAACCCCCCCTTTACATGTATCGATGATACAGGCCATATGCCAAATTCATGGGGAATGGCCATAATGGTCCCGTTTTATAAAAAAGGTAACAGGGAGGATCCATCAAATTACAGGCCAATCAGTCTGCAGAATATCATAAGTAAGATATATGCTAGGTATATCTTGGACAAACTTTTGGACTGGTTTGAACAAGAAAACATTTTAGCAGCAGAATAGGCAGCCTTTAGGCCAGGGAGATCTACAATAGATCAATGCTTAATTATCCAACACCTTATTGAGAAATACTCATCTAAGGGAATAACTTCACTTTATGCAGCCTTTGTTGATTTCAAATCTGCATTTGATTCCATATCCAGAATGCGACTTTGGGACAAATTATCAGATTCATCTATTGATAGACGACTCCTATATCTTATACGGGCATTACATGAACAAACTTATCTGAGAGTCAGATGCAGCAGACAAGGACATTTTACTGAACCAATTCAGACCTTCAGAGGTGTCAGGCAAGGCTGCTTGTTAGCACCGGCACTGTTTATTTTTTACATAAACAATCTATCTAGCTGGCTTAACACTCCAGAACTCCATCCCCCTAGACTTGCCAATAGGACAGTACCAGTGTTATTATATGCTGATGACACAGTGCTACTCTCCAGAACCCCTGTAGGATTGAGGAGGACTCTTGGGAAGCTCTCCTCATACTGTGAAACAGAGTCTCTTACAATCAACTACCAGAAAACCAAGATAGTTGCT